GTGCGTGCGTGCGTGCGTGCGTGCGTGCGGGCAGAGGCGCTAAGGCAAAGTGACAGCAAAGCTCACACAGGAAGGATTGGCGTCTCGTCGTCAAATGCAGCCTCTGCACCCTCTCTCACACCAAATCGCATCGCATCGACCCGCAACCGCTTCATCTCTTCCACCTAATCCACTCGCTCGTCGTCGATCGCTCATTCGATCCGTACCAGGTGACATTGCGAGCTGCGCATTCATCCGTCCTCGCACTTGACGACCCCTGCACGCCACTTTTCAGGCTAGAGCCGCGCTAGACCCAGCACAGCGACCGCTCGAGGTCCCATCATACCAGTGAACATGGCTTCCAACGGTATCGGCATCGCCAACCTGCCTAATCAGCGCCACAAGATTGTGGCCAAGGCAGGCGGCCACTTTACGCTCATGGTGGTGGGTGAGAGCGGCGTGGGCAAGACGACGCTCATCAACACGCTCTTCAGCACCGAGCTCGCCACGGGCAAGGACCACTCGCGCCGCCACACCAAGCAGCTCGACAAGACGGTGGAGATCGACATTATCAAGGCCGAGCTCGAGGAGAAGCAGTTCAAGGTGAAGCTCACCGTCATCGACACGCCCGGCTTTGGCGACTACGTCAACAACCGCGACTCGTGGACGCCCATCGTCGACTTTATCGACGACCAGCACGAGCTGTACATGCGCCAGGAGCAGCAGCCCGAGCGACGCGAAAAGACCGACCTGCGCGTCCACGCATGCCTCTACTTCATCCGCCCCACCGGCCACACGCTCAAGCCGCTCGACATTGAGACGATGAAGCGTCTGGGCACGCGCGTCAACCTCATCCCCGTGGTGGCCAAGGCGGACACGCTGACGCAGGCGGATCTGGCGACGTTCAAGCAGCGCATCCGCGAGGTGATTGCGACGCAGAACATCCGCACCTACTCGCCGCCGCTCGAGGTGGATGATGCGGCGAGCGCCGAGCACGCAAAGCAGCTTATGAGCGCCATGCCCTTCTCGATCATCGGCAGCACCGAAGACGTGCGCGCGCCCGACGGCCGCGTGGTCAAGGGTCGCGAGTACCTGTGGGGTGTGGCCGAGGTCGAAAACGAAGAGCACTGCGATTTCAAGAAGCTGCGCTCGCTGCTCATCCGCACGCACATGCTCGACCTCATCCACACCACCGAGGAGCAGCACTACGAGCACTACCGCCAGGCGCAGATGGAGACGCGTAAGTTTGGCGAGCCCAAGGTGAAGAAGCTCGACAACCCCAAGTTCAAGGAGGAGGAGGAGATGCTGCGCAAGCGCTTCACCGAGCAGGTCAAGCTCGAGGAGGCGCGCTTCCGACAGTGGGAGCAGCACCTCATCGCCGAGCGCGACCGCCTCAACAAGGACCTCGAGACTGCACACAGCACCGTCAAGGCGCTCGAAGCCGAGCTGTGAGTTGCCCCATTTACAGCCGACTCGTTGGCGAAAAGCACGTACTGACACCTTCCCTCTTCTTCTATGCCTGCAGTGATGCTTTGCAAAACGGCTACGGTCGCGGCTCCCAGAGGCGCTAGAAGTGGCGATGCACTCACAACGAGACGCTGCTTGACGCTCTGTCTGTGGCTACCAATCTGGGCTTGCACTCCTGTATCGTACCGCCATCTCGCTGCGCTCAGGAGCGCTTTGTAATTCGATCCGATCCGATTGTCTTTCCAGCCATTTGCTGCCGCGCAACAGCGATGCAGGCTGCGCCTAATGATTCTGTTCCCCTGAGATTGAGCTTCCGAACGCCGGATTGCTGGGAATGGACGACATCACCGGTCAAGTCTCTGAACATGAACGGCACGGCTTGCGGGGATCGGGTGGAGGTGGGTTCGGTGGCTTTGTTCTGGCTCTGAGATGCACCGCCCCTTTGACTTGGCATGGCGACGCGATTTTAGGAAATTCCACGGTCAGCAATCGTGAATTCAGGGCCAGGCTGACGGGCGGTTGCCATCGTTGGGCCGTGCGATTTGGGCGTGCGGCGACGCGTGTGGGATGATTGGATTGGATTGGGTGCGTAATGCACCGCACGCATCGCACGCACGGCCGGCCGCTCGGCACTCCGACTCCGCGCTGAGCAGTCAGTCAGAGTCGCCTCCACGCGTGGCCGCGCCGCGCCTCGCCTTGCCTCGCCTTGCCTTGCCTTGCCTCACCTCGCATCGCATCCACCCGAACCAACGCAGCTTCGCATCCGATCCAACTCGCTCACTATCAGCTTCCTTCGCGCACATCCACATCCACATCCAGCGCTGGTCTCGTATCCATCACCGAACTCGTCCAACTGGATTGCTCCCCCCGCCGTCAAGCACCGACGCTCACCGTTCGTTGAATTTCGGCGAAAGCATCGTGTCTATCCATACCCCAAGCGTTCGGTGCATCTCTGCGCCGCTTGAAGTCGTTCGGCACGATCCGACAGAGTTGATTGCAGCTCAGCCATCGATCACTCGACGCTGACACAACTGGCGACGGCGAAACCGCTTCCGAACACCTTCTCCTGGCTGCCAATCCGGACCATCTCCCCAAAACTCGGCACATCCGACCCCACCCAAGTTGATCTCGTTGCCTTGAGCCCCCCTGCTGCTTTCCGCCATGTCGCTACAAAACATCTCCAAATCTGCCGTGCGCGTCGGCAAAAACTACATCAAGGGCTACTCGGACGTCCAGGTCAAGGTGCGCGATGCCACCTCCAACGACCCTTGGGGCCCGAGCGGCACACAGATGAACGAGCTGGCGCAGCTCAGCTACAACCAGAACGAGTTTATCGAGATGATGGAGATCCTCGACAAGCGTCTCAACGACAAGGGCAAGAACTGGAGGCACGTCTTCAAGTCGCTCACCCTGCTCGACTACCTGCTCCACGCCGGCTCGGAAAACGTCGTCATCTACTTCCGCGACAACATCTACATCGTCAAGACGCTCAAAGAGTTCCAGTACATCGACGAAACCGGTAAGGACCAGGGCGCCAACGTGCGCCAGAAGGCAAAGGACATCACCAACCTGCTCCAGGATGAGGCGCGTCTGCGCGACGAGCGTCGCTCGCGTTCGCACATGCGCGACCGCATGTCCAACGGCGCGGGCGACGACGACGACGAAGCGAGGAGGAGGCGTGCCGAGCAGGAGCGTCGTCGTCGGCCCAACAACAACGAGGACGACGAGCTGCGCCGGGCGATCGAGGAGTCGAAGCGCATGGCGCAGCAGGAGCAGGACCGCATCCGCGCCGAGGCCAAGGACGAGGAGGAGCTGCAGCGTGCGCTGGCGCTCTCCAAAAAGGAGGAGGAGGAGCGCATCAAGGCGCTCGAAGACGCCAACAAGAACGCGCTGTTCGATGACTCGATCAACCTCGACGGCGCCAACGCTTATACCCAGAACCAGCAGGTCGACTTCTTCGGCAACCCGCTCGTCGATACCTCGGGCTCCCAGAACTACGGCGTGCAGCCCCAGTACACGTCGTTCAACCCGTACATGCAGATGCAGCCCACGGGCTACAACCCCTTCATGCAGAACCAGCTGCAGCAGCAGGAGCTTATGCAGCAGCAGTACATGCAGCAGCAGCAGGCCGAGTATCAGCGTCAGCTCGAGCTGCAGCAGGCGGCGGTGCAGTACCAGAACCTCATGACGCAGCACCAGCAGCCGCTCGTACCTCAGCAGACGTCGTTCGGATCCAACAATCCCTGGCTCCAGTCCGGTGGCCAGCAGCAGCAGCAGCAGCAGCAGCATAACGTTCCTGTGGGCGACTTGTTCTCGTCTGCACCTACGCCTCCTCCTGTGCAGCCGACTCCACAGCCGCAGCCTGCCTCGCCTGCACCGGCGCCGCAGCAGCAGCAGCAGAACCGACCTATCCGCGCCAAGGTGAACGACGACGCCAAGTTCGGCGAGNCCACAGCCGCAGCCTGCCTCGCCTGCACCGGCGCCGCAGCAGCAGCAGCAGAACCGACCTATCCGCGCCAAGGTGAACGACGACGCCAAGTTCGGCGAGCTCAACAGGCTGTTGGCGCTCGGCGATGGCGTGGACACTTTTGGCAATACGGGCGATATGCGCATGGGTCCCAACATTGCCCACTACAACCAGATGCGCACGCAGAAGACGGGCATTAACTTTAACGCCAACACCAGCGCGCAGGGTCAGGGCCAGGATCAGGGCGCAAGTGGAGGCGCGAGCGACAGCAACCCCTTCTTCAAGGTCTAGAACCGCACATGTGGCGATGTCGGGCTCAGTATGTAGTTGTGCAATGGTTTCGTGCGTGGCGTTCGGGGTGTGCGGTGTGTGCGGCGAGCCAAGGTGCGGAGAGACAAAAACGCCTCGACGGGCTCAAGTGGGAGGATGGACGGGCACACAACAGCGGTGAGCACGCCAAGTGATTCAAGCCAAGGCTGAACGGTTGGCATTGCGGTTGCGCAGGGGCAAGACTCGGAGCGGGACAGGGTGAAAGCTAGTGCGTCGGATGCTAGGCGCGCAGGGTGTTTGTGTTGTACGAGAGGGCGACGGGTTTGATGGGGTACCTTCTGTGTTCGCTTTCCTGGTCCGGAAGGGGCAAATCTCCGTCGGCAAACGGCTTGCCCTTTCCGTCGGTGGTGGTGGTATCGGGGAAGGTGAGGAGGAAGGCGGCGTGGACGGTTTTGATTTCGAGCTTGGCGAATCGCATGCCCAGGCACACATGCCTTCCGCTGCCCCAGGGTACAAACTCGCCCTCCTTCTTGCCCTCGCCACGCTCAAAGCGCGTCGGGTCAAACTTGAGCGGCTCGCTGTAGATGGTGCTGTTGCGGTGCGCCGCTCCGAGCCAGAACGACACGAATTCGCGGTCCTGCACTTCGGATCCGGCGATCGTGGTGGTGGTCTGCGTCACCTTGGAAGCCGTTCGCAACTTGCGTCGGAAGATGAGACTGATCATCAGGATCCGCAGCGTCTCGTCGAGCACCTTGTCGTACATCGGGAATTCGCCTTCCCAAACAGACAGCGGCGTGCGCTCGAGCTTCTCCTGCAGCGTCAGCGTGTCGTAGTCGTCACCGCGCTCTTCGGCTGCCTTGCGGAAGGTAGCTTCGAATTCGGCGCGCACCTCATCGCGAAGCTTGGCATCGGTGCAGAGGAAGGCGAGCAGATATGAAGTGACGCCCGTGGTGTTGATGATGGCAGCAAACAGTCCGCCCATGATAAAGTCTTCGATCGACTTGATCGATGCGTCCCGGTCGATCATCTCCTGAATATAGTCGTTCTCGCGACGACCCTCGGCCTTGCGCTTCTCGACGGTGGTGCGGATGGCCGTCGACATCTTGACTGCGCCGATCCACTTTTTGACGGTCGAGGGGATGGGCAGCAGCGGGAAGTGGGTGGCCATGAAGCCGGTGTTGTCTGCAAACGACCAGAAGGGCGCCTCCATGGCTTTGACGGCGTTGATGTCGCGTGCGTGCTCGGCGAGGCCGACGAACAGAATGCTGATCTGGAAGACGAGAGGATAGATGGTGGCGTGCATGTTGATGTCGCCGCGACCGGGCAGGGTCTTGAAGAGATCCACCGAGCAGCGCACCATTTCGGACAGATTGTCCTGGAGTCTGGTGGTGCTGAGGCTGCCGCGCAGGTTCTGCACGAATCCGTCCGAGCCGGCATCGTCGGCGGGCGGCGTCTTCTGGAGCCACGAGGGCAGCTGTGGGATGCCGGCAAACATGACCTCGTAGCCGTTGTTGAAGTTGAGACCGCGATCGTTGAAGAAGGTCTTGCCGTCCTTGGTGGGATTGTTGATGATTGTCATGATGTGGCCGCGCGAGTTGACGCGCACCGAGTCTTGGGTCGGTGGTGTGCGGTCCCATGTCTCCGGGTCGCCAAACACGGAGCGCAGGAAGCTGTTGCGCTCCGAGTAGAGCTGGAAGGGCCCGAGGCCGGGCAGGAGCGACTTTGTATATGCTTTGACGGGGCCGTGACGCTTGAGGCCGGCTGGGGCGCGGAGCAGGTTCCATGCGAAGAGCGCCAGCACGATCGCCGCCGCGGACCAAAAGGTGGGCGACGAGACGAGCGAGCTCTGCGTCGATACGGCGAAGAGCTGCGAAGGCATGATGGCGAAGCAGATGCGACACCGACGGACAAGGGGATGGTGGTGGTGGTGGTGTGGGGCCAAACGGCAATGTTGGCCGGGGCAGTGTGGTTTGATCCTAAAGTAGCTGGGTGGGCAGCCGAGCTTGAATGCCGTCAAGCTGTGTGGTTAGCGCGGCAATCACAGCATGGTGATTGGGCGCGTGCTATAACGGTACCGAGCGGCTTAGCGGATTCCGACGGTTGAGGCCAAGCAGTGCGCTGCTGCTGCTGCTGCGTGGTGCGCGCCCTTGGCCCTTGCGCTGCGTTGCGCTGCGCTTCGCTGCGCTGCTCTACGCTGCTACACGCCTGACAAATGGCGCCGTCGAGTTTTTGCGCAGCTGTCCAAGAGATGCCGAAGTGCCCGGGCGCATGACATCGGATCTGAGCCAAACCCGCAGGAATCCAAGATTGGCCGAAATTTCCATTCTGGCGAGGCCCATGACACGCAGCAGTTGGCCTGATAGCAGCCGCCCACCAGAGAAGCACGCACGACTCACGGCTGTAGCTCAGGATCGGAATGCCTTCCTCACGGCGCAGCACTCTGTCGTTCGCAGCGCCGGCCATCACGCTTCTCACGCCTACCGCTCGGGCCGAACGGTGAGCATTCCCACGGCGCACTTTTCCCATCGGCGCCAATTTCGACAGACGTTGGCACTGGCACTCGAGCGGCCGCATGACTTCATTTCCGCACTCGTTGCTCATTTTTCCGCGGACCGGCGACGGGATTCGTGTCGGACGCATTCAGAATTGTTTGCAAGCTATACTGTACACCATATTCTGCCTCTCCTGCACTACTCTGGTCGAATGCCCGAGTGGTTATGGGGCT